AAGGGGTGGATGGGAGTACATGGTTTGGACCCCTTTGCAGAATGAAACAATTTTGTGATACATAGCTTACAATTTTCGGAACTTAAACACAGGAAGGTTCCGGTTGCGATTCCAATGTACAATTCTGATTAGTGTTTTCTCATGTTACTTCATCATCCCCTTTTGTTTGCGCTTAGACTTGCAACGCTTATTCCCACCGGCTGTATATACTGCTATTGTGAAGGTACCTATTTTGTGAAATTTTGGTTAAATTTGTAATTCATGGCCTGTCAGCTTATATTGTCTATCTTGTCCAGTTGTAAACCCAGCTATACTAATTATGCCAGATGTATTTGATTGAAAAATAGCATGAGCTTACAATTCACAAGCGTGTGATTTGATTTCGCATGTTTATTTGGCAAGTCCGACTGTATTTGGTAACCTATTTTTAATTTTCAGTTTCTTTTAGGGGAGCAACCTATTGTTCATTATGTCTGATAGCTTACGGACACGGGCGGTCACGACCATCTTTGACTACCCGATATCGCCTTGGCCAGCTGCAGAAACCTAGCACCGCCGCTGATTTGACTTGGTTCGTCTCTCTTCGTTGCACTTTGGTTTTAGTCATAGGCTTCTTGTGAGGATATATCTTGCTTGCAAGGATGATTGTTCTAGCCACCACGAACCAGAACTGGAGTGCAACCCTATGCGTCATCCCCTTCTAATTAAGTGAGATTGGTTTCCTTTTGCCATTTGGAAAGCTTGTGATTCTGAACCTGTGACTCTGCTCTTCTCCCCTGCCCTGAAACTCTGAACCTGCTGCCCTCTTTCTTCTCTGAATTCCACTCTCTGTCAGCTGAATTCTCTATACCGTGAAGATAGAAATACCAATTGGGTGGGTGTGGATGCTGATTCTGAACATAACTGTATCAAATTACTCCGCTGCATTGGTGCCTCAAGGTACTACGATTTCGGCTTCAAAGAATAACAATGAATCTGCGGGACATGTATATACATCTCTGCCTGCCATAAGTAAGCATGCAAATAAATTTCGGTAAGTAGCAGCAGACATATTCTTCTTTGAATTTTATACCTAATTGAACGAACAAAATTTGAGCCACTGTATTGTGCTTATCTGGTAGATGCTTATTAGGTATTACTATAAATATGATGAACTCAGCTACAAGGTTCTCGAAAGAGCAGTAACTAATTATAATGGCTTTGCTAAAGAGTTAAACAACACTGTGTTGGTTGATGAGTTGAATAACCTTATATTATTTCATGCAGCTCCATTACTGCTGTCAAAGTTATATCGTATTTATCTCATGGAATAGTCTACATCTCTAGAGCCTTAGTCTATTTTCTCATTTGTAAAGTTACATGATTCCATTGTAAGGAGCACCCATTTTAGAGACTTAAATCACAATTTTTCTTTCATTTGGTTAAGTTAAACTAATGATTATCATTTAGTATGCCCTGTTACATACCATGATTGAAGCATGGAGCTCACTGGAATTGCATGAAAGTTGTAATGCTATTTTATTTATTAAATTTACTTATTTTGGTAATGGCACTCTCTCATGTTTATTTTAGATCAAACATGTACAACTCAATGCGCACACACAAAGGTAAGGCTCTTCAGATCCTGTGGTAGCAGTCTTGTTAATAACTCCATGATATCTCCAAGTAGGAGGGATTTTTTAGTTCATGTGAGGATTTCTTGGCTCCAAGACTGGTTGTGAGGATCTCTGAGATTGAAGATATGCAGACACACACTATGTGACAATCGGTTTAGAATGCGCTGCATCCCTTGCTAAATTATTTGACAAACTATAAACATCTGAGATACTTGTTGTTCATGTGTACATTTGAATTTACATAGTTGTTGTAAGTATGGAGAGTGGAGTATTGCACTGTGGTGTCTCGACAATAACTCAGTATGGAAGGACCATAGGAGAGCATCCTGGCTCCTAACTTGTAAGGAACCAAACTGTTACTTGCTTCCATGTGATCGAACCGTGTGCTTACACCATTTTTCGTGTACTCTCACCTAACCAACAATTTGACTTTGGCCTGAGAGTTAGCCACCAATACGAATTCATAAAAGTTTGAGGTATTTGTATTTTTGGCCGGGAATAATTGTTCGATTGAGCAGCTTGAAGATGGGATCGATGTTCTTTTTGACGGAAAGATATTCTAAGCAGGAAGACATGCATCCTATACACTCCTTGGAACACAGAACATATTGAGCTGAGATGTATTTAATTAGGGTGGGCCTTTATTATGTTGGTTTTTACTCATATTAGTAAACAACCTTTATAGTTAGGCTAATATTTCTAAAAGCATGCACAATTAGGTGCATATATGGATAAAGTAATGTTAAAAGAATTTTAAATTTATTGATCTGTAAGATCGTGCGTTGCACGTGCACGCTTACTAGTTTTTTATATATTCCAAAAATAATCTCCGTTGATTTTCAGCTCATTCCGAGAACTTTTATTTCTGCACAAAAATAACACCATGGCAATTCTGCTGAAAACAACGTCAGTCCGGGTTAGTTCCGTTCAAATCATGCAAGCTAGAGTCCAAAACAAGGGCAAAAGTGTTTGGAAAAGTAGATACGACGGAGGCGTATCAATCGACTATCGGTGATGGTCGCTCTTCCTTTGTTCCTCCTACTATGAAAAGATCATAGAGGAGGAACATAGGTGACCTCCATAGCATCCATAGCATCCATACAAACAACATGAACTAATAGATGCATCAACAATTATCTATACAAGAAAATTAATAATTATCTACATTCATCCATCCTTCTTTGCATCCATGTATGCATTCATGCATACATACATACATCCATCCATCTATATATTGATATATACAAAAAACTACAAAAAAAATTACTACCAAAAAAGTCCATGCATCAATTCATGCATCAATCCATGCATTAATACATACATATATACGTTCATACATCCACGCATCCATCAATCCTTGCATCCATATAAAAATCCATGCATCCATACATACATTCATGCATACATACAAGATCGGGGAGGGGGAGACACAACTCACTGAGAGGGGGAGATGGTGCCGACGGGGTT